TTTTATTTTAACCTAATACATCGAAGTTTTAAAAGAAAAAATAGATAAACATCTCTTTTGTTTTTTCCTTGTAGATTCTATCTTCCAACTCTTTACTCCACATGTATATACTAAAATTTTAAATAATTCAAATAATTCAAAAATTAAACAACTTACTTGATTTTATAATCTCCAGGTGCTAAATATCTTCTTGTAACTCCTTGCTTCTCAATCCACAACTTGTATTAGTTCAATAAGAATTTAAAAACTTAATTGATTGTTCTAAGAGAACTTACTTTAGAACGTAGCCTTTGAACTTGAATTCTTTTTCTTTTTCTAAGTTTTTCTTTCACCTCTATTTCTTTTTTGTTTTATTTTTCTCTTCCAATTATTTTTTCTTGAATTATTGATGAATGAACTCTTGAAATGTTGATGAAGAAATCTTCATATACTACATCTATGAATAAAACGGATATAATAGGTAGAAAGAGTGATTAAATTCCTACAACTATTAGAGATGGGCCCTCAACAAGGAATCAATAAAAGAAGGAAGTAATAACCAATTTTGAAGAAGAGCTCCACCTTTGATGAAGATCCTCCTTTAATTCTAATTTAATTCTAATTCATAATATAATTCTAAATCTTTAATTAAGCTTCCTTCTACTTCATTCTAAAATGCTTCAAGCTCCCTCTTTAATTTGAGTTCCTACAAACATTCAAGTAGTCAAGTATCCTCCATAAGGGTTTATCTTAATTCACCCTAAGTAAATTAACTCAACAAGTTTATAAGTTGTAGCCATTATTTAAATTTCTATTAAATCACTAATTAACTTGTTTAAACCTTTCAAGTCCTTAAGCACAACTATACCATTAATTCACACATACAATAATAAATCACTCAATAACACCAATCCAATTAAGAATTTAAAATTATGATTTTTATTCTTCTTATTATAATTATATTTTGTTTTTGTTTTTGTTTTTTCCTTAGGTTAGTTCTTATTTTATTAAAAATCATCCATTGACAAAATTTTATCCTTAAATGGCATTTCATCTTTGAATAACAATTCATTGTTGATTCAATTTCATCCAACAAGATTCATCTAAAATCCTAATTCCAACTTCATCTAATTGACAAAACCAAAATTGGTTAAATTCTAATTAAATTCATCTAAATCTACCCTATTGTGATGTTACATTCTGGAATCCTCACCAAGCCGGAAGAAGCTGTGCTAGTCGACTTGCTGTGAGTCGACTCTCACTAGTCTGCCATGCTCCGCCATCCTTGCTTGATCGCCTAGGTGCAATTAAATACAATCGCAACAGTCAAACTGATCAAAGTGAACTCAGCCCAGACCCACTACGAATAATCACTCAATTTGTACTACTCTCTTGCCAGCCTCAACTCCTCGATCCCATCACGCAGGTTACACTTCCACGCTGGCTCAAGTCCTACAGATCCTTTAGTCCTTCAAAAACCCGGGTCTTCTCTGTTGTTTGATGTAGGCCAATCGTTGACCAAGAAAAGTGCCATAGAATAACTTCGTGAGCACGGGTATGTCTGCCAAATATTTTTACTGATATGCTACAACAACGCTCTTAATTCTCAAACAATCTTTGAAGCTCCAAGTCCTGCTATTCACCAGCGTTAGAGGTATTGTACAATGGTCCACCAAAGAGTTGATCCAATAGATCGAATTAACAGCCTGGGTGGTATCCACTTGATAATCCACCCTAAGACAATGATACGTAGTACAACGAGGTACACTTCAAATATGCCACCGCTTGCTAACCGCTACGTTCTGCTAAAATGGTAGTTGCAGCCGCTTCAACACAGAATAAGATTCTTCTGCGACACCAGAAGGATCACATCTCTGTAGTTGAATAAAAATCTAGTGCCACTCAATTGAAGCACTAGAGCACCATTAATCTACGTCAAGAACGCCAAAAATGGTGCTACCAAGAAGAAGATTAACGTCTCCTCGGAAGAAGCAATGCTGCACACACCAAGAACACCACGCTCCAATGCAGCTCCAACTGCAACTTCGCGAGCTTCCGTACTGTCGCACTCTTAAAAAGCACCACAATTGACCGCAAGCCACCACGGTACCAGATCGTCGACCGCACACAGCACTCCAACAAGAAGAAGAACCACGAAACTGAAGAAAGTCGAATCGTTAGCCGTCCGCCCTCCCCAACTCTATCAAACTATACCGAAGTAGAAAAAACGAAACCAACAACCCCCTGATCTTCGGCATCCACTACAGTGTTGTCGTCAATGACAACCCGAACCCCGAACTGTAATAGAAACACCACATACACCGCAGCTTAATCGCAACTCCAACGCCAATGCAGCAGCATCGCCACAGCCAAATACTTCACAAGAAAAAATTGGAACAAAAGAAGAAGAAAAAAACCACCAAGTCTTGTCCACTGCACGCTTGTGAGGAAGAGAGCTTTGAACCAAATCGCCGAACTTCTATGCTGATCACTAAAAAAAACAATTCTGCTTGCAACCAATGCAGCCACATACACACGAAAAAAATGGAAGAAGTCCCTAGCAGTCGGAGCCCTCCCGACACATCCCAACGCCGCAGCACACCCCACAACCTGCGGAGCTCGGAAAACCAAAACAAAAATAGAATACAAGAGAGTGAAGGCTGCGGCGGCCGGAGCCCTATGGACAAGGAGGTTGTTGCCATCCAGGGGCAGCCTCTCGCCTACTCGATCACCTTCCATTTTTTTATTTTTTTTAATAATTTGTTTTTCTATTTTTCCTTCCCCTTCTTTTTTTTCTCCTTTTCTTTTCTCTTTTCTTTTTCTCTTTTCTTTTCCTTCTTTTCTTCTGTCCTTCTTTCTTTCGTGTCTCCTCGTTTTTTTCTTCTTTCTTTAGTTCTCTTCTTCTTTTTTTTTTCTTCCTCTCTACTTCTTTTGATTTTTTTTAATTTATTTATTTTATTAATAACATATACATATGTATGTTTTAATAACTATTAATAAAAAAAAAAAATCTTTTTTCTTTTGACAATAAGGGCTACTTCCATTGGGCTATCATCGTAGATTAGATACAAAAATCATCTCCGACTTGGAAAGTTGGCTTAATAAATTCTACTCTAAATTGCATATTAGCTATTAGCGATCTATTTCCTATTTCTTCTAAAAGATTCTATTACTAACTCACAAAATTTGTAATTTTATGCACCATAAGTGTATTTTTTATACTAAATATCTAAGTGAGTCAATTCAATGACTCACATCTCCAATATTTTTAAGTATTAGAATTTTAACCAATTGGCTTTTTATATTACTACGACTCCATACAAATTTTGCTATTACTGATTTGTTTATAATCTTTTCATAAATAAAGTGATTACATTCCAAGCCAATTATTGTAATCAATTTATTCATTGTTGTATCAATGCTTCCACAAACTTCTTTTTATTGGTATTTATTTCAGTTAAATTATATTTTTAAATCTGATACACAAATAAATAAATATATATATATATATATATATATATATATTCTTGTATATTCAAGAGTAATGTGAATCTCATGGTAGTAGATCTTATTGCATTGAATTCAAAGTTTTGTGACTATTTTGTATTTCAATTAATCTATGATATGTTATTGAATATGCTTATAAAAATACATCCCTTAATGTATTCCATTTTTTGTTATGCATGCAAGATATCTCTATTAAGGTAAAGTAATCTTCATTTTTATATTTTATTTATTTATTTATTTATTTTATTATAGTTGCTAGATAATATTCCTTTCTAACTTGAAATGAATGAGCTTGTCTTTTTTTTTCTTAACCTAATGTAATTTGATGAGATTAACGATTTTTTAACTAATTTTATATTCTTCTCTATATTTTCTTTATTCTATTTTCTATTATTTATATACCTTCTTTCAATTTTATAATGTCTTTAATCATGTGATTTGTATTAAGAAAAAAACTGTATTTAGTAAATAAATTATTATAATTAATAAATATGGATTCTTATTATAAACAATAGAATTAAACACTTGTACCTCAACTTCCCATATATCTCTTAAATTAAAGTAAGCCAAAATTTGGATTCTATTGAGTTTTCAATATCGTGACTAGCTTCTAAAACTTATCATATACAACAACTATGGGGCAAATTTTGGAAACTCATCAAATAACCTTCTCAATGTAATCCATGCAAAATTTATAATTATTTTTGTTTCCTATGTTGTATCTAAGTTCTCAATGACTTTAGATCAAAATTTGAATCTTATACTTGTAAAATATGCATATAGAATAAATATAAAAAATTAATAAATGAAGTATATTTCTAATTTTCGTCTCTTAATTTCTTTTTAAGTAGTAATATATATATATATATATATATTTTTTTTTCTAAGTAAAATTTCTAAAAGAACCTGTAGATAATTAAGTTATCTATTAGTCAAAAATATATTTGTTGTGTATTTCACAAATATGACAAGCAATCACTATGTATATGGATAAATAGCCAATCATTACACAAACCAAATTTTTGTCTACTTCTACTACCCTTGAAGTTGTTTTAATATAAAAAAAGAACACATAACTGTGTTCATAATTAGGATGAAGTTCCTCAACCAAAGCATTCTTACAAGGTGTGACTTGCCACTTTTGCCGTATAATCATTAATTGAAAAATGAAATACTTAAAAAAAATTTGTAAAAAAATTTAAAAGTATATATTTGATTTTTTGAATAATAATTTATTTGCATATATTAGGACTTAAGATACATATAATAATTTTAAAAATCACAAATTATTATATTTATATTTTTTTTAATAAAATAAAACTATTATTTTTAAATTCAATTGTACATACATATTCCTTTTTGGCGAGTGGACCCGGGGTTCGACAGGGTCGGGTGGATCCACCTGAGACCCGGATCGCTTTGCTCCTTCATGTAAGATTGTTCCCACTTCAAAAGAAGAGCGAGAGATTACGGATGAAGGATATCCATCCACATAGGATTTCGTTCAGTGGTGCGCCTTCCTTCTAGTTCTCCTGAGCTGTGTCTCCGAAGGGTGAATGCCTTCGCAGTGCGGTTTTGCAGCAGGAGCTTGTATCGTTATTCTGTCTGTTGCAGACCAGGATCTGCTTGCGCCCTCGGAGCGAGAAGCAGTGAAGTTGGTGACCGAGAGAGTAGACCAAGAAATGGCCAAACGTCGGAAAAATGAGCAAGAGTCTGGGCATCCTGGTTAAGCTGCTGCATGAAGCAGAGGGCCATATCGTGACTGTAGAGCTGAAGAGCGGGGAGGCTTATCGCGGCTCCTTGATTGAGTGCGAGGATAATTGGAACTCGCAGCTTGAGTCCGTTACGTACACTGCAATGGTAAGTTTCTTAAATACGAGCATGAACTGTGTTCAGCCCTAATCTGGTGTAACGTTCGCTTGTAAAGGGGATTCTGCCAGTATGTTTTACTCTGTTGACGTGGATTTGAGCCTAATGCAATGGAAGCAAATTTAAAGGCAGCGTTTGGGGACAGATTGCCGGTTTCGAGGAATAGTCCTTACCTTCTCTGTTCTGGGTGGGTTATCTCTTGATTGTTGGGGCGGAAAGATACTTGATTGAAGTATTGTGCATCACTTCTCTCTCTGCAGGCATGGCTTACTGCATGTTTTATTTATTTATTTATTTATTTTACTGTCTCCGGATTCTTCAGGTCTGGTCATTGAGACATGTGGGTATGACAGTGACAGTGAATATGGATGTATTAATCATCATCTTTCTCCATTTATTCTTTGGTTGGATATACCTTTTGTAAATGCCTTGAGAAGGACAATATAGTTTCAATCGTCACATTCAGCAGCTACTTGAATTTTTAGTGTGTCCGAAACTAGGGTACGCTGCTCTGGTGGTCCCTTACCTTAAGTTGGTCGGACTGATTTCATGCCTTTGTAGAATCTAATCGATCGCAAGCTTTTCCGTAATTTCGAGAGAGAAGAGTGCATGATTCAGTTAGTTTACCTGCTTAGCCTGCTTAGCCGAGATTGTTTTAACAGTCTGATGGTTTCTGTTATGCAGGATGGGAAAGTTTCTCAACTAGAGCATGTTTCCATTCGAGGAAGTAAAGTGAGGTGTGTTTTTCTTTCCCTCCTATCCAACATTTCATTCAAAATTAACTGAAATAAGGGTTGTTTCCATTTGGTTTACGTCAAATTTGGCTTATTCTTTCATTGTCATTGAACGATTGAGCCCGTATTCCGATTGAAGCTTTCTTTCTGATCGGTTTGATTTTAGCGCTCTGGATGGAAATTTCTTTACCCATTTGTTGGCTGTTTCATTTTCCGGATTTTTTCTACTGTTTGATGGTTTAGCAATGTCCAGTGCTGTGTTCATATAGTTGGTGATGTCTCTGTTGCAGATTTATGATCATTCCTGACATACTCAAGAATGCCCCTATGTTCAAGCGCCTTGATACCAAGATTAAGGTACATTCATTTCCATGATAGCTACTTTTTTTTGTTTCGCAGCTCCCTCTATCACCGCGTACTTATACATGTACTCGTATATCAGGTAACTCATCAATAAAATGTCTCGGCGATTTTTACAGTGACTAACATTATATCTGCTACTTAAATTCCTTCTTGATCCGCAGGGTAAAGGGTCCTCAGGTGTCGGGATTGGCCTTGGTCGAGCGTCTACCATGCAGGCCAAAGTCAGAATGCCTTACACTTTGCGTTGAGGTCTTGTCAGTACTACTATGTGTTCCGCTGACTGGTTGGTATGTAATGGAAATCAAATGAATCGTTTCTTCCTGGATAAGGAAACGATGAGATAGAAGTTGTGTACCTCAATACTGTTACCTCTTGAAATCTGTGAAATGGAGTTTTCAATTAGTATTGTTCAATTTTTCATTTAATGTTGAATACAATGGTGTGAAGTCGGAAAACGTTGTAATTGTTATCAAGTACTGAAGACCGGAGCTAATAGATTTTAAGCGTGCAATCCATTGATGCAATTTCTAAGCTTGTGGTGTTGCTTGACCTGTGCAGGCCCGTTCAGCAGCTAGAGGCTCTGTACCACTTCCCATGCTTAGCAAAATTATAGAATTCGAGGATTTGCTTGGTAGTATACAAGAGCTTCTCTGTTGCATGAATATATTGTTGCTTATAAGACAGAATATAGAAAGACTATTTGCAACACATCTATGAATTGGCCGCAAAATACAATATTAGTTTGTAAAACATAACTACTATTAACTAAGGCTTTTTAAACAACGAATGGGATTTCTTTCATTAAGTGTAAATTGGAAAGCAATTAATAATTTTTTTGACATATAAATAAAAACTTGGCTTCTTATGGCAAGTTTTAAAGTTTATATATCAAAAATAATCCAATAGTACTACTGCATGGCTCAAAATATTGTAAGACTACATAAGCTATCCCTTCTTCTAAGGACTATCTAAGAGTAGTATGGAGTTAGCTATGGCTCTTCTAAATCAATAAAGAAAGAGTGAAAGAAGCAAAGCCTAAGTTATAGGTTTAAATTTTTTGACAAGATTATATATGTATAATGATTGATCTAATTGTAGTGAAGGCATTTGGTCCTTTGTATGTCAAAGATTCACAAAAATATGTATGGTAGATGCATCCAAAACATCATGCTTTTGCTACTTCAAATATTAATATGAAAAACAACATCTTTAAACCATTCTGGCATCTCTCCTTTCTTATGTTGTCTTCTTATTTAATAGTATTGTTAATTTCTTATAGTATCTATTTCTATTGGTATTTAAAGATATAGATGATCCATTTGCAAGTAATCAATAGTTCAACAATGGATTTTTGTCAAAGAGACCAAAGGAAGGTGATAAATTTCTATTACAAGTAATAGGAGATCCAATTACTAAAACTAAGATTCTTGAGGAATTTCATGACATACTTTGAATTAAACATAAAAGAGTTTGGACCATTTATATCAAAATCAATAAAAAAAATTGGCAAAAAGAATTATTTAAGATATAAAGGACTTTGTAGGTTCTTATATAAATTTCCAAATACAATCTAAGATTAAGTATAGAGATGGACTTTGACCTACATTTCCAACTTCTATACATTTTCAATAGGTGATTGATTTGGTATCTATGCCATTTGGACTTTGGAGCATAGAATATTTGATTTTGGCAAGAAAAGAACCATCTAATTTTGTTGAAGAAAAGACTTTAAGGACCAAGTCTATGAAAGGACTATGTTGATTTATATTAGAAGATATCTTTAGTTGGTATGACAATATTAGAAGGATGAAAGCAGATAGAGGAGAATTAGATATGATAGAGACAAGGAAATTCTTCAAAAAATATAGAATTCAATTAAAATTGGCTATTTTTTATAATTCAAAAGTCAATAGTAAAAATAAGAGACGTTATCCTCCTATCATTAATGCATTGGTGAAAGCTTGTAAAGGTAAATTAATGTAATGGCTAAAATTACTTCTATTTGCTTTGTAGACTAATAAAACTATTTATAGGATAATAATAGGCTATATATCCATTGAATTGATACTAAGATAAATATCAATGATGCTAGTTAAAGATTCTTATTTTATATAGATTTTTTTATTGTAAAATAATAAACTTCATAGAAAAGCCTTTTAGAACTTCGAATTCAATAAATAGGGAAATTACCAAAAGATTTGGAAATAAGAATAGAGAAGTTAAAAGCAACTTAGTTGAAGAACAAAGAAAGGTTTAATTAGATTCACTAATTAAGACCTAAATCCATAGAAATTAGATATTAGGTTTTATTTTATAATATTAGCTTGATCCATCAATATAGCATAACAAAGAAATTTACAAAGTAGTATTTTAGACCTTATATGATAATTATTATCAATGACAATGTCACTTATCTTTTGTATGAATTAGATTGAACTATTATAAAAAATCTAATGGAAAAGAAGATGATAGAGGTTTTTAAGCAAAGAGATACAAGTTTCAACAAAGAAGATTATATTGGTTCTTTATAATAATAAAGAGAGCAAAATCAAGAAGATAAAGGATTCAAAGCAATATTGACCAAATTTGAAGAAAGTGAGGAGGATTAATATTATATATTAGAGGATATACATGATTGGAAGAGATGAATGTTCTATTATATTTACATAGAATATGTAAAAATTAAATAAGAAATATGAAATATATTAGTTCTTAGTTTATATTTTTTTATTAAATAAAATATTTTAAAAAATAATTAAGTATTAAAAAAATAATTAAATTTTAGAATAAAATAAAGATTAATATATATATATATATATATATATATGAGTGTGTGAATTTCTTGGAGAGCTTAATGAACTAGATTCTTTTCAAATTGAAGAAGTATGGAATACAATTTAGTAACTAGAGAAGTTGAAATAGGGGACAATTGAGACAATATTGTTGTTCATGCTTTTGATGCATGATGAGATAGTTGTAGAGTAGATTATATCATAAACAAAGAGAAATTGTATGCATTTAGATATTAATTATACATTTCTATCTAGAAGCAACAAAAAAAAAAGATAGATAATTGAATATAATTCAAAAATTAGCAAAGGTATTGTACATACCAAGTCCATGAAGAAAACAATACAAATGGAAGGTGGCCAAATGCAAGACCAACCTAGCCATTCTACGGACCAAGTAAGTATTAAATTTTGTTATGGAAATATAAGAGGGGATTTATAACATCTAACTTTTGCAGTAGAAATTAGTAGTTTATTAGCAAGACTACAACTACATGAGGCTATACTAAAAAATATAATTGAACCATAACTTATATTAAATTATCCAAGTACACTTCTAGATTTACTTCTCTAAGAAAGAGAGTTAGATTCGGACATTTTCTAACTTTCACAAAAATAAGTCCAAATTCAAAGATTGAAAGCTAAAGGGTTCATTTAGAGACACATTGTCTTTGGAATTATACATAAATTGATCAAAAAAAAGGATGTAGAACTACTTGTGTAACTTGCCTCTTCTAACCTTCTATACTTCATATTGAATTATTATAATTGTCTTGTAATACTACCAATGTACTCTCCTTAAATCACTACCTTTAGAATAACCACATTCTATATAAAATCTATCCAAAATTCCAAAATCGATATGACTTTCAATCTCATAAGAATTGAAAATCTAATATCAACAATAGATAGAAAATTTTAATTAATTCATGGTACTAGGCTTGATGAAGAAACATAATCCAAGAATCAAATGACTAATCACATGAGCAAAAATAAGACTACTGTAGTCATTCAAATGCCTAATAATACAAGAGAATAATTGTGTAAAGATATAATTACACCATTCAGACAATGTCAAATAAATACTCACTAATTACAGCTTCAAAATCAACAACAAAGAGATATGCTTCTATCATTGGATTTCTTACTATATATCAAATCTGTCTACTATATACAAGCAATAACAATAGTTTTATAAATATATACATTGAAACTTCTACATGCACTAAGAATAAAAGAATTTTTACATTCCACCTTCTCATAGCTATTTAATATATTAACTATAGATGACAATAAACTATTTTGGTCCAAGATGTCTAGACCTTGAGTTCAAATATTTGTGGTCAATACTTCAACCTTTTCAAAAACAATCAAAATTTCCAAGATGGATATAAAAGATGATGAAAATTAAGACCATAATTTGCTATTAAATAGATTTAACATCTAGTGTAATTGCTACAAGACATATGACTACACCACATTAGAATGTAACATATATTGTTGACTAGTCAAAGATCATCTTATAACCAAAAATACTAAAAAAGATTGACAACATGTCTTTCTAATCTTCAACATTCCAAAGCACATATCAATTAGCAGTAATTTGAGACAAAGTTCAAATGACAATTTTTCATCTATTGGCTCAATGAACCACTGAAGAAGATAACCTACAACAAAAAGCCATATTGATAATTTTTTTTAAAAATCAATCAAACAATATATGAGAAAAGATACGATGAATAATCTATCAGAAGATGCAGTTAATTATAATACCACCTATATAATGATATTCTTTTGGACTATTTTCAACTAGCAAATATAACTATAAGATCTAGAATTCTTAGCAGCAGTGGTCTTCTTCATCATTGAGAAACAAAATGATGGCCTATATACTACACTAATAGCTATATATGATGAAATTCTACCAATATCCTTCTACTTGATAGAATCCCTTAATATGATAATGTAGACATAAAAAGATACAAAAATCCACTTAATAAATAAAACTATAGTATACCTTTGATTAAAGATAATATTCCAAAACAAATACAAGAATCCTTTACAAATCTTAGAAGATGAATTTTGGAAATATAAATGGTTAAGATCCTCTAAAAAATTGGTACTCTGTATTCTAATAGCTATCATTGTATATGATGAAAAAAATATTCTCACTTTAATCACTACATAGTTATATATGACATGTAATACTTGATTATATCCAAAATTAAATATTGACATCTTCATACAAGAAAGCCAATCTGTAGGACTTAGTTGAACAACATAGATGACTTATCTTTGGCTGCAATCCCTCCTTCTCTTCCTCGAGACCTATTAAAGGACTTCATCACCTTCATAATAATTTTTCAAACTACTAAATTTCTACTCATTTAATACAAAAAAATAAAGATGCCAATCCTTCAAAAAGTAGACTCAAGAGAATGATTGGGCCTCTAATCCTTGTTTCTTTGAACATTCAATATTTGGATTATAAATTGATTAGTGTCTTCAAAAGACGTAAGATGAAGGAATTTTTTGTAAGAAGCTTTTTTAAGCCTAATTTATTATTAATGTAAAAACTTAAGCTTTTATTGTACAAATTTTAAAAAATAACTCTACAAATTGAACTACTTAGAGGCTCTACCTTAAGGAACAAAGCATGCAATTTTGCTACCAAAGATTCATTCAAGAGTAGAATGGTGATTCTATTTTTAAAAAAACTTGCAATTCAAGTGTGCAACCATAAAATCATTGAACTTAGTCATATATAGTATATTACCTTCAATCTTATACACTCAATCAAACTCAAAGTTATCAATGTCTACTCCTACAATCAGATTGGTAGCACAGCTTGAATATAAAAATTGATCAAATGACATCCTTTACTCCCTGCCCATTACATCAT